ATCTCGATATCTGTACAGGAAAAATAACTCCCAAAAAACTACTGCAAAAACAAATATGCCACATAATTCCACAAGGGAAGAGGTAGAGGTAGGGTTTTCATGTAGGAACAAAGTGCATCTATAATGTTTAAAAAAAATCCAGAAGAATACAGATTGCCTTCTTTTCAGTAAAAAAATAAAACAACTGAACTCTAACTTGCATTAACTCTGTTAACCGTACGATAATGAGAACTATGAGCTCCTTTAGCATAGGAAGCTGGGTGGTTCTTTATTTTAACAGATCCATGTTCCTAATCAGCAATAAGGGGCTATGAGGGATCCCACAAACCACTGCACACATCAAACACAACGTATCCAAATACTATTGTACAAGTTTTACACTGCAGCAGATTATTAATCAAAATCTTCTGCTAAATACATTTTACATTACTAAACTTTACAACATATAAACCATAACGACTATAGAGGCTTTGCACCGTCACGTGACCCCTATAGCAACGGTACCTAAGCCGCCATGACACCGGACACACTATGTCATTGACTTCAGCAGCATCGGAGAAACATGGGCAGGTTTTGTTGTGTATTTGGTTGTTCTAGAGACGCTCTGAACGGGATTAAACGATTTGTTTCTTCACTGTTCCTCTGGAAATGACTCATCAGAAGCTCAAACAAGGGAATTATCGGAAAAAAAAAAAAACGGGAATTATGGCTAGAGAACATAAACCACGAAGAGATTTCCTATGGTACCATCAAGACACACTCACGTCACTTTCATCAAGGTATTTGCTATTTAAATAGTTACATAGATTATTTAATGAGAGAAGCACATTTACTGAACTAAAATGTAAAAAGAAGAGAGTGGCAGTAGAAACTGTATCTTCCAACGCACATATAAACATGTCACTTGTCGTAGGACCCATGTTTTCTTCATTGCCTTGCTGATCCACAACTATGTCTTCTAGAATAAATTGCTTTTTGTGAGCGGATCTTTCTAACGTTCGCGAGGATCTTTTCATGGCCGATTCTTTCGAGGTTCGGCTCACAGACTCTTCGACTCGTGCGTCATGTTGATCATAGGAGCCCAGTGTGGGTTCGTTGAATCGTAAACTAGTGCGGGTTTTCCTGGATGAATTAATGACATTTTTGTTCAGTAAATGTACTTCTTTCATTAAATAAACTATGAAACAATTTAAATAGCAAATACCTTGATGAAACTTCGGGTGTCATGATGGTACCATAGGAAATCTCTTCGTGGTTTATTTTTGATAGCTATAATCCGCGTCTTTTTTTCGATAATTTCCTTGTTTGAGCTCCTGATGAGTAATTTCCAGAGGAATAGTGAAGAAACGATTCGTTTTATCCCTTTCAGAGCGTCTAGAACAACCAAATACACAACAAAACCTGCCCATGTTTCTCCGATGCTGCTGAAGTCAGTGGCATAGTGTGCCCAGTGTCATGGCGGCGTAGGTACCGTTGCTATAGGGGTCACGTGATGTGCAAAGCCTCTATAGAGCCACATCAGGCCGTTTGAGATTATAATGTGTTTAATGCACTTTTGCGCACATTTGTGTATGTTTTACAGAAAGAAAACTTGAAACCACATGGCTCATTTGCATAAAGCTTGTGCTGGGCGAGCGGGGCAAACAAGGCAAACAAGTGAAACGCAAAATCAGAATGAACTATAAGCATTATATCGCTACATACAATATGTCAGAATCCATTTCGTGTTTAAAAAATATCCTGATGTATTTTAAATATCTAGATATTGCCCACCCCTATTTTGACCTGTAACTTGACATGTATGTTTAATGCCATACTGTGGAGCATTTTAGGCACAAGCTGGTGGTGGATTCTCTATCACACAAGCTTTTCAATGGAGCAGGGACAACATATCAGCAGCAGTGGTTATAGGTCCAAGAAGGGCTCATCTGGCTTACAATTTAAAGTTTTGATGATGTACTGATGATGTTGTGTTCTTGTCATAAGCATATTTCATTCACTTCAATCATCGTAGTTGTCCATCCAAGAACTCTCGATATCTTAAGTGGCCCCATTAAAGGAACTGAACATGGAGATAGTGATTACGTCAGAATAAACCAGGTCTAATCCAGATCCAAACGGTTGGCTCCAAAGACATAGGACTAAAATAGGAGATCCATTTCACATTTTAGAGCCAAAGACGGCCTCAGACTGGCAAACGCAGATGGACGGCACTGGCAGGGAGCACGTTTGCGACGGACTGTGTTGTAGTTTTGTCTCGAGAAATGGAAGCTATCAAATATGGACGCAGCCCCTTTCATCGCTGTAATTGCTCAGACAGCCTCTGCATTGTGTCCTCCGAGAAGATGGCTTAATCGCGTGACAGCTTGAAAACCAAATGTAGCAAAACACTTTCTCTGTCACTGATTTGATGGTTACTCCTTGTATTGGTTGGTGAGGCATTAGGCTGGAGAAGTGTTTGGAGCCCTTTTAAAGTGAGTAATCATGCTCCCAGTTGAAGAAAGATTTACTTGGCTTGATGTATTTATGTGTGCCCATGTTGAGCACAAACAGTGTACTGATAACTACAATACAGACTGTGCTAAATTAAAATGTTGGCCAACCAGATGCGCAATCTGTCTTCAGTTACAAATTGAAAGCTCTTTGACAACTTCTGCCACTCATAGACATTAGATATTAATATTTAGACTGCTGAGTGACAGATATTCACAAATTGGTGAAATGTGAGTGCTGCCTAACTACAGGGGAATTGGAAACAGAGTGGGCTAAGTGCATTTTGTGTCCTCTAAACGTGTCAGTGCAGTGTTATAGGAATTAAGACAGCAGAGAAACTGATTAGAGCCAACACATGTAGACATGATTATTTAATAATTGCATTTACGGTGATTTATGCAGTGGAGTCGAGAACAGCAGTGGCATTTGTTAGCACACACTTTATGTAATCACGGAACAGGCCGAGAACACAAAGGCTTAATATAACACCATCTGGTTCTCAGGCAACAACAGATACATATCCCTAATCGTCTTAATACTAGTAACAATTACAATGAATCTGTTGTTGTTGTGTGTATCTATGGTTTTTTTTTTTAGTTTCATTTTTCCAGTTGTTTTTATTACAAAACTCCCAATAAAAGATGTCTCTATTGCAATATCGGAATGAGAGTGCAGTTTTTCTGATTACGTTGTTTAGTGGAATAGTATCTGCTCTTAGAAACTTCAAGTACAAGTTTGTGGGGGAAAAAAAGGAAAGAAAAAAATACAGGAAGTACCACAGAGTTACAAAATGGAATATACTGTACCTAGCCTAAAAATCCATTCAAAATGCAGAAATAGTTTAACACAAGGAACACATTTTGCTTACAATTAGAGCCCGACCAATATGGATTTTGTTGTGGCCGATATGATACCGATATAATGAAAGTTGATGCTGACGATAGCCAATATAATCACCGATATATTTAGTGATGTAAAAATTCACTGTAAATCTTGAATTATTAAAAAAAAAATTGGTTTGGCTCTGGTGGATTTTAAACTGGGTTTATTTAGGCAACATTTATTGTTATTCTGCCTCTTTACATGATATGTCATAGGACTAAAGCAGGTCTAAAGCAGGTCTAAACCAGAACTGAACCAGGACTGAAAAATGACTAAACCAGGACTAAAACAGATCTAAACCATGTGTAAAACAGGACTAAACCAGAACTGAACCAGGACTGAGTGTCGGAACTCGGTCTCTATCTCTCTCCCTCTCTCGACCTCAAGATTAGTCCTGGTTTATTTATTTTATGCTGAATATATATATGCACGTTTTTTCCCCTATGCACACGCATATTTATTTGTTTGTTTGTAGTCGCTGCCGCTGTCAAACTCCCACAAGTCTGCACGCGACGTGAAGAGAAAAAAAGTGAGAGAAAGAGAAAACACAGCTCCCAATCCCAATAAGGATCAGGCTCCCGTCGTTTGCTTCAAAGACCCATCACTACTAGCGAGTAAATAAACAATCGCTATTAGCCTTTAGCCGTAAATGCTGCGCAGCGGTAATTAATTGTATGCGCAAATTTCATCATTCACACCTCTGTTCACAGCTCATTTACATATAAATGCAGGTCCAGTAACAAATATGCGGTCAACATAGTGACTTTACAATAGACCAATAGAAAACAGTCTGTTTATGTGTGGGAGCTACAGCAGCTAATCGCTAACCTACCAGAACAAACCAAAACTAGCTTCAAAGTCGACATATTTCCAACACTCAGCGCTCACACAGGCTCCTCTCACATCACAAGTCTCAACTAATAAATGTCCTTTTAATCCAGACTCAACCCGATTGTCCGTAAAAAGAAAATAATCTCAGTGTTTGGATCTGTTGCTGCAGATGTAACACACACACGTGACTCTGGAGGTGTGTTCAAGGACAGTACGACACACACAGACAAATGACTCTGTAGATAAATACTGAAGCAGAGCCACATATTAGGACATTTATCTGTCTGTAAATTGGATTAAATGAACATAATGTAGAGAGTCTAAGCTTTATAATGAGGTATAACATGCCCACGTCAAATATCCTATCAGCCTACCTACTATGCTAACTACTAACTTTTTATCCTTATTTACAGTATGGTTGCTAGATAACAGTTATGCCCCCCTCTATTACCTCTATGTATGTCCCGTCTGTTACACATGTCCAAAAAAAAAAATAAATAAATTATAAACTTCACAAAAAATATATATATAAAATTAAATAAAAATCTAGGGAATATTTTGGTATAATCGTTAGTATAATTATTTTAACTATTTTTTATTGAAATGAGTGTAACCTGTCATATGCATTTTAAAAGGTCACCAGATTGACTTTTCTCTTGAAAATACAGCAGAACGTTTTTTAGACAGATCTGGAGGAACTTCGGTGAAGATGGATTTGTAATGTCAAAATGAAGGATGCTGCTTTGGGACGCAGCAGGCTGGTTCAGAGAGAATGTGAGGTACTGGCTTCTCACCTGTACAAAGGCGGGGGGCTGGCTTGGGCTTCACAGCTGAACACCACCTCTCTGTTCTTCTCCACGTTCTCCACCGGGTACACGATACTGCCGGGCTGCTTGGAGAACACAGGGCTCTGCAGAACCCCCATCTCTGTAAGGACAACAAAACAGGCAATTATATATAAGGAGTATGTGTAGTGGGGATGTACAAAATCTTCACATTTTAGTTATATATTGTTACATGTAATACACATATCGATATGAGATGCTGCATTGTAATAAGTTTAGTCCAGGGGTGTTCACACTCTTTCAGCGTGCGAGCTACTTACAAAATGACCAAGTCATAATAATCTATCTAATACAAAGTCAAGCAAACTGCACTGAAACACTCTGTGCCCCTTTTTTGGACCCTCACCCACAGTTTGAGAACCCCTCCTTTAAGAGAACTTCCTCTGGCACTTTACACAAAACTGTGAAAAAAGTGAAGGAAGATTTTTAAACCTGACATCGTGACAAACACAGATGCATTTGTGCACTTTTGTTAGGCAAACTTCAGCCAAATGTGGCAGTAGGTCTGTTCTGTAGATCTGCTCTATGCTGTAGACCTGCTTTGTGCCAACACTGGAACACAAATTTAGACTCTAACTTCTTGGGTTCTTTTTAAAGACAATGCAGTAAAGTGTGTTTACCTTGTTGACATGTTTCGGCTGCTAGCTGCAAGCCATGTTCAGAACTGTCCTGAAGATGGCTTGCAGCTAGCAGCCGAAACATGTCAACAAGGTAAACACACTTTACTGCATTGTCTTTAAAAAGAACCCAAGAAGTTAAAGTATATAAGAAGACAAAATGAACATCTTTGGTTTAATAAGGACAAATTTAGACTGGTTTTTGCTTCACGTTTGTTCTTGCTCTTCTAATCAGCCGCACTGTGGGAGGGGCTTGTGTTCGCTGTACACAGGAAGGAGCGAGAGCGTGAAAAGGCGAGGGGCGGCGTGCTGACGTGAGGCAGATGGACAGGTAGGATGTTTAGGAAGTTGAACCTGCCCTGTGATGCACGCTGGTACATGAGGGCACACGCTGTTGCAGACGAGCCGTGCATAGGGAGCGTGTGTGTTTGTGATGTGCCGTAGAGTCTCTGCGGGTTTCAAATGAGCGCACAGGCTGCACTGAGACGCCCCACACGCTCCTGCACCCCGCTACAAGTTTATTACCAACAGCAGCGGCCGTAATGAAAATATGATCACACTTGTTGAGTGTCAGACCTCGAGTGAGAGACAAGACCGAGTCCAAACGCGAGTCCGAGATGAGACACGGCGATCTACCCACACGACCTTGGCGATCGACTGGTAGATTGCGATCGACGTATTGGGCACCCCTGGTTTAGACCATGCTAATTCATTACACAATGTCAAATTACATTTTTATTTTATTTGTTGAATAGTGCATTAATATTAAATCTGTGCAGCTCAAAAGGTTTATTGTGTTCTGATATTAAATTACAAAATGAAATTTCAATGAAATTTTACCACTCTACATAATACAAGACCATTTTTTTAGAGATATGTTTACGATATGTATAATGTAACATGGGGTACTTTAAAATACCGAGCCCTAATATGGAGACACACATACACACAGAGACACACACATACACACACACATACACACACACTGCAAATATTCTTTCTTATTTTTTGTAACAAGGTTTGTCTGTTTAATTTGGCACTGAATTGAAAATAACAGCAGCTATGAAATCACAAAAATCACTGTTTTAATAAAACTCTGGATAACTATTATGTTTTTTCCCCTCATAAAATTAGACATTTTATTCAAATTATTAAAAGATGCTTATCCTATAATTAAATAACTGCTTAGTTATTGGTTTTCTTGGGTTTTATACTGCTGTGTATGAAACATCTGTAACTATTTTGCTCAATTTCAAGTTGTTTTAAAAAAACATATTAACCTGATCATTTTATGTTACCGAAAAGCGTTTCTTTAACCTCTGATAAAACAAGACAGAAATAGAATTCATTTGAGCCTGCCTGTCACCACTCACCACGATCAACAAGATGGATTCCACAGCAGTCGTGTCTCTTACTGCTATTTAGGAGCTGGTAATCGCACCTACAGCCCAACGTATGTCGGACAAGCTCCTGCTAAATTGTCCTCATTTGTTTTTGTCAGCGGGCTTTTCCTGCCGTATTTATTTATTGGCCTGTCAGAGTACGGTGTCTGACATGGGGAAAATGAGCTGGTTTCGTGTGATTACAGCTCTTTGTTAAAACTGCCACAGCTTCGGTCTCAGTTTCTTCGTCAAAGGGATCATTACCACAGCCATCTTCGCCGGCCACTCATTTAGAGAAGCAGAGGAGTGGAGAGGTTTGGGAAAGATAAAACAATCAAAGAAGTGTAGACTTACTCCTGTCACGATAACAAATTTTGAATTATTTGAATCATATAATATTGCTACAGTGCAATTAACGAAAATATTGAAACTACTTTATATCAATAATGCAAGATAATCTCAGTGAACCATATTTAAATTGACAGTATAACTCAAAAGGCCTGAGAATTAACTAATAATTTGTCTTTACTGGTTTTAGTGTTTTAGTTTGGTGGTGCAATTCCAGCTCCCACAGAAGAATGCTGTTGTGTCCTTGGGCAAGACACTTAACCTGCGTACACTGATGTGTGAATAGGTGAGGTGTGAAACAATATATAAAGATTTTAGAGTGTCGTCTTGTACAAAATCTTGTACAAAATCCCCCCCCCTCAATACTCCTGACATCCTGCCCTGACGTCGCTGGGTCTAATGCAGAGGACAAACAGCCCAATGGGAAATAAAGTGTAGTTTTACCTATAAGTGTCAGAGTTAGTTTTTTTTTTTTACACTAAATTACATGGCAATTACACTCACTATGTAGGTCGACATAAAGCTTGACAAAGTGCTATACAGTCTAAAGCCCTAGTGCTATTCTGTAATTGACCTTTGAGTGTGGCTTTAGTGAGAGGTTTTATTTAGAAAGAAAAGGTGAGCCTGAATAGTTTCTCTTAGTCTCCCATGGCTGCAACTATAAAATGCAGGTTTTTGAATAGCACACTTGGTGGTTAAAAAATTCTCAAATGTAGATTTGCAAAACCCCAAAGTAAAAGGGGAAATTCTGATTCAGTGTTAAAAGTACAATGTGTACTATTATCTATTGATATAAAAGTACATAAAACAGTCCTGTAAACCCCACACCATACTTAATATATAAAGATGAAGTATGTAATTCCTCGGAGATGTTGCTTCTTTGCCTCGAGTGTTCCACAGTATGGCATTAACATATCTATCTCTGTATGTGGAGAGGTAACCCACTTCCAGTAGGAATACATTTCTCAAAGTATATCTGAGCAATGAAAACATCTGTAATTGATGCAAAATAGATAAGTTTAATGTTAGGGATGCGTGTGGTTAGTCGATTAATCGATAATTGATCATTAAGAATTTCATCGATTATGTTCATTTTAATCGACAAACTGAATGTAGGTTGCTGTGTGTAGTGTGACCAAACAGGGTCTGTACATGTGTCTCTGCATCAGAAGGAGCGAGACACAAACAGTGGGTCAGTCTGCAACGTACCAAAGCACAAATGTGTATTTAACGATGACTTGTACAAGAAATTCCAAGCTTTCCGTTCTGGTCTGGACAAGTGTGAGTCCATGTGCACAGTACAAAGCAGCACATATGTTTCAGTGGGAAAAAGTTTTGCCAGGTGAGAGTCGCTCAATGCCGATGACGAGTCCCCACCTCCCTCCCCCCGTACTGTGTCCTGGTTTTGACAAATGCAAATATGTTCACAATAACCTGTATTCCACTGAGTCATGTCTTTTAATCTGACAGAAATTGACCGCATCAGCAACACAAGAGCTGTTTTTTTAATCTTCGCTTAGTTTATGCAAATTAGCGATGTGGTTTTAAGTTTCGTTTCTGTGAGAGTTGTGCAAAACTGAATTAAACACTTTATAATGTCAAACGGGCTGATGTGGCTCTAGAGTGGTTACGGTTTATATGTCGTAAAGTAGAATTTATTTATGCAGATTAGTAGTGCAGATAGTAATAATAATGATGATCATTTTAATATAAAAACATTAATGATGAATCGATAATCGATCGTTAATTCTTCCGACGATCGATTAAGAAAATTTCATCGAATGCTCATCCCTATTTAATGTCATACAGTAACGATTTAGGGGAAATCATTCTATTACCACCAGAAAAGTTCTGATGGTAACAGTAGACTAAATTGTGCATAACTGTAGTACTATACACCTCTTACGCTCACAAAAGTAACAGTGCACTCACACAACAAGGGTAATATTTAAATATGCACAGACGTTCAGGCAAAGGTGTAACATCTCTTTCTCCACGAGCTTCATCTCACATAACCACTTTATTTGAATTTATACAGTGACTGACATTTTATTTTAAACTGCTCAAAAATATACCAGACAAATGTGTTAATGATGTACAATGTGGCATAAATTGCACTGTATGAATCATCACATAATTGAAGCAGCAAATTAGAAACCCACTACTGCTGTCAAAATAATATATCTGAATATTGTCTGAATAGTGAGTGTAAAATATAGCACACAATCCAAACTTGTCGAGTCTATACATTGTGTTTACGGGGCAAACCTCAACAATAGGATGGATTGTTTACTGCCGCACTGACAGAAATCCTCCAGCATATAGAAATATAGAAATAGGCTACTTATTTTGGTTTCACCTACACAAAGACTGCGGTGAAGAGCAAATCAGCACTGATGTGGTGACATACACACTATGTACAATGCATTATTCAGTGAAATACAGTGAGCAATTCAAAATCCACACCTCACAACAGCAGCCAGCCAGGGGAAGAAATGCTCACACTCGCACTCCTCAACATAATCTGTTTAAAGGTATTACTCAAAGGTATTGTGATAAAACACCATTAAATAGAGAAGAGTTATATTTTTGCTTGCAAACATGGCAAACCAACAGTTTATTTTGTAATTTTCTGTTCAGGATCACCATAGCATCGTGATTGGTCATACCCTTGAAAATGCCCAACAAAAGCTAAGCAAGGTTACGCCTGGTTAGTTCTGTGATGGGAGACCACT